GAGCAGTTAGTGAACTACCTTTATTTAACTCATATATAATGCTGAGGTATTTGCAAAACTCCGGACCGCAGGTGTATGCGGTGGGGAACGAATGCGTTCTTGTCCTTTCCGGAGAGCAGCGCACTTCACCACCACACCATCCGGGTCCTTCGTTTTGCCTGTCTCTCAGCTAGTTCTACCTTTATTTATTACACCTCCTCGACGAAAGTAGTTCGTAAAAGGAACGTCACGCAAAAACTGCGATGTTCTTCGCTTCTCTTCATTGTTCAAGTGGAACCCACCAAGTAGGTCTGATGCTCGCAGTTTACGAGCGAAATTTATTGGCGCGCACCGGAGTCACTTGATGAATGACGTGATTATAGAGAATGACAGACACAAGCTAAACTGTTCAGTGCTTTGAAGAACTCGTTTTCTTCTAAGTTGATGGAATTCCTTGCCAGAAGAGGTAAAAAAATGCAAACGATGACAGAAATGAAGATTTTTCTTTGAAGAAGGTTCACAGATAGTTCCAAGGTTAGCGAACGATGCACGTACATGCCATTAACAAACCAACTGAAAACACTCACCGTTGATTGCCGTTTCTTTGTTTTGGCTACCGTAAACGTTCATGAGAAAAATCCGTTTTTTTCCATTATCTGCACTTAACTCTTTTTTGTTGTCTTCTTCGATCTTGGTTTCTTCAAGAATAATGCCAGTAGTACCGGTCGAATCCACGACCTTTAAACAGTAGTCTGGTGGCAGCCATCACACAAAGTACTTAGTTTTAGATATTTGAATTTTCGTTATCATCTCATTAATGATATGTTGGATTGCTTGTATTAGGGTTAGAACCATTCACTAACAGAAAACAAAGGCAACAGGACACCAAAGCAAGTAGATAGGTGCTGCACAGATATTACCAATAAAGGCAGTCTTAAAATAAGGGAAGGATTTTTGAAAGAGCAGGAAGTGGTATATATTAGACGACTCTTGCTATTCCAAAAACAGTTTAGTAGAGTGCTTAACACGTTGATAATGTTCTAAAAAAATCATGTCTCTCAGCAATGATTAACACTTCAGGGACGCGGTAAGCGTTCGACATCATAAATGAGAGCAAATGCATATTTGGTATATGCAGATATCCCGTTGACGTAAGTATTCTTTATCATCCCAGGCCACTTTGATATCAATTTATAGACCTGGAAGGCAGAGGAGCTAACATACGGAAACGTAAGATCGAAACAATCATATTGAATTTATAGCAGATGTCTCAGGCAACTCTACTACCCACGCCTCTAAATTGTCGACTTGAGAATATTAGTTGCTGCTCATATTTGTCATAAGAGTCATTTCAATAAAAGCAGCAGTTAAGAGTTTCTATTTCATCAGACCATTTTTTCATTTTTCCTGGGGTTGATGATGCTAGCAACGTGTCTGTTAGAATCTAAGCCTACCAGAAGGGATACGACGAATGAAATGAGTAAACATTCCTGTAAGTGTTTCATCAGCAACAGTTGGTTGTTCAATGTTCAGTCGTTTTTTCCACAGTTCAGCGAATACCGTATTTTCAGCGAGAACATTCGTAAGTCAGACGTTATCGATGTCTGAAGAAACGATAACAGTGTTAATGGTGACGTTAAAGAAATTTGTCGAATTACTTATGCTCACTTGAGATTCCGCCAGCAGCAGAAATGTATAAAACTCTTTATTTTGCAGCTGTCTGTAGTACTCATTTTGTTATGGACCTAAAGAGGACTGTCTCAGTGGAGCCCTACAACGCTGCTCTCAATACCTCATCAGTTATGGATAAAAAAAATCACTTCCCACACCTCTCATTGTCTGCATGAATATTTCATCCGTTCATCCATACTCCTATGCTACTAAATGAGGCTTTTGTTTTCACTTGACTTCATTCCTGAACCACCAGATCTTTGTTTACAGGAAATTGAGACTATTAAAAATGAGATCAGTGGTTGGTTAATCTTTATGCGGGAGGGAAAAAGACCAATCAGTTGAAGAAATGGGGCCAGTGGTCGAATTTTTTATATTGAACGTATCTTCCTGGCAGATCTCAATTTCTTGCACCTCCTTTGTTAGTTTGAGCTTGCGTGGTACTCTGAGTTACAATTTTTCATCACTGAAATTCTAAGAAATTGCGATTTTTATTTTTTTTTCAAACACTGTAATTTGCACATGGACATTCTAAGAGGAGTTTATGGAAACTTGAGGAACAATTCCGTTGAGTTCACTAAAACAAGTCCTATTACTAGATTTTACCGCATTTTCCTTTAAGAAATTATCCACTCTCAATCGCAACGATGCTGAGGTATTTGCAAAACTCCAGACCGCAGGTTTCTGCAGTAGGGAACGAACGCGCTATTGTCCTTTCTGGGGAGTAACGCGTTCACCACCACACCATTCAGGTTCTTCGTTTCTCAGGTCTCTCAGCTGGTTCTATCGGCATGTGGTATTAGCAATCATGGGATTGATCTGGGAAGCCCACATCGGCATTAAACCCAGTTAAGCTAAAGCTATAGTTGAAATCGTAATGTTTACTTTTTTATTTGCTGCCTACCACAATTTTCACGGCAGCTTCTATCGACTGTCAGTTTTCTAGTGAGAACGCAGCTATCGCGATTTCAAAATTAAAAATACAAGTAAAGTGAGCACACTAGTTTTTAGATGATATTTCATTCTATTCTCGCTGCTTCTGCGTTTATTTTCGCCTTTACCCAAATCACTGAAGCACAATTCGGTGGATTTGGTGGATTTAGAGGATTTGGTGGAGGTGAATTCCCTGTAGAAATGATTGTACTTGGAGAATGTGGTGGATGTGAAGGATCTGGACCACCTACTGGATTTGGAGGACGTCCTAGATTTGGAGGATTCGATCCATACAATCCATACGGACAATACGGTAAGAAAGTTTAGAAGTTCAGCGAAGGCATTCTTTAATGAGAAAATAACTTTTTTCGAATTTACAGATAATTTTGTGATTTAGTGTAATTTTACAAAAGCGTTAAGATCTCTTTTTTTTTCTTATAGGTGGCTTTGCACAGCGTGGAAGACGCAGACCATGGAGGAGCCAGCGCTACGGCTGGGGTCCGCCGCCTGGTTTGAATTTCTTTCCCAACGATGGAGTGCCATTTGGATAACAAGAATGTCTGAAATCACTACACCTTATATACGCATTCTTGGTATACTGTCAATAAAACATCACGTGATTTGACTTTTGGACCCGCCGACAAATAATACTTGAGATAACGCTCTTTAAGAGAGTTTCAAGCGCGAATCCAACTTTTTTAAACTGAAAAGTTATCCCTACAGAAATTTGAGACAAAATTTTTCTGAATGCCTTATTAGGTGCACTGATTTCTACAAATACAAAAAAACAAAGTCAAATACAAAACTTTCTATTTCACCTGTCACAAAATCCACGCGAGTGATCAATTAACCAATCGACAATCATACACTGTTTAGTTATGAGCCTCCAGCTTGTTTCTTCTTTATTTCCTCTTTCTCCACCAGTTTATTTATTAAGCCTTATGTAATGCCTTTTACATGAAGCATCGCAGTATTGGCAGACAACTATCTGATATTCTGTAGTGTGGTTGAACAAGTAACTGTGTGTTTCTTCTTAGAAACTTCCTGAGTAAGTGGTAATAGTGACGGAAAGAAGTTCTTAAATGGCATTTCGCTAAAAACCATGTTTGAGCAAAAATAGAAAGAACAGCAAAACGAAGAAGTTGTTGGTAATATAAGCACAGCCACTCTCGGTTTACATTTCTAAGAGCAGTGGTCTTATGCGAGAAGTGGAGGTGGCACGTCGCAATAATACAGTTTTATATAAGCAGAGCACGTGGTCGACTTTGTTCTAGATCAACCCAGTTCCTATTTATCTGTGGTAAGGAAACTGGAAAGACCAGTGTGGCCCAGTAGTTGGAGACACCACTACGACACACAAGTGAAGTCGATCTCCGCGCCCATGGCTCACCAAGCCTTCCATCTCTCCGGGTTCGGTGAATTGGTGCCAAACTTGTCTGGGAGGATAGCAGCACTGGCTCGATGCATCAGTAGCTCACCGCAAGTCATTGTAAAGGCCAGGTATGAATCCAATCACCTCTTTTTCCAGCATGAGCTCACTCCTTCGAGTCCGTATTAGCTAGCGACTGTATGCCGTGAAGATCTCAGAACACCTCAATACGATTATCGGAATATTCGGAAAAGAATTGACTCGACCACTACTCATCAATGTTTATGAAAAAAATAAACTCCTTAATCATGGAAAACACCATGCGAAATGTGAAGATCTGCGTGGATGATCGGTGCGAGGAATTGAACAAGAGGTAGGAAGTGCTGAGATCAGAAAAATGTGTGATGTCAAAGCAGATCGTTCCAATTCCACCTTATATTCCAACACTGCCAAATCGTGCGCTCCTATTTTGCCTTAGAGATCGAACAATTCATTTCTACGTCAACCATCTCAAAGAGCGGTCTACTATGCGCTACCATTACACTTCCACTTTACCTCAGAGACATATCATTCCAATTTTACTCTAGTTCAGAAGCAAAAGAGTAGGAAAAGCATATTCCCCAAAAGTGTGCTTTATGCTCCGCTTCACGAAGCTTCGTTATAATACGAACCTTTTTCCGAAAGTACGACAACGTTTATTCCCAGCTCTTACTTTCACAACGAATAGTGATAAAATGCCTCAAGTTTAATAGAATGACATTTATCTTCGATTTCCTGGTGTTTACAAAGAGACTATTACATTCTCATCGGTCAGGTGATTCAGCAGTTTCCATTGTAATAGTTCATGCAAAAAGAGTAACCGATTATGAACGAAAACTTCGAGGAGCTCTAATTTGGTCTAAACACAGTTTTACTAGTTTAAACAAAAACAGTGACAGTCTACATATCTGTTTTTCTTGTGGCAAAACCTTGTTCCAGTAATTCAGTATATTGAAATTGCAGAGGCAATGAATTCTTTGAATGCATTTCCCGAACGTTCAATTTTGTAACGTTTTCTCAGCGAGAAGCTCCAAAGTGCACAAAGTGGAGTTGATCCATAAGAGATCCGGTGCATGCGACCGCCGAGCCATAGTTTGGCAGTTCATCTCGTTCAGTTTCTGTTGCATGAGTCCTACTTTGTCTGCATAAACGTCGATTCACAAAAGAATTCGCTTCTATTCACCAGTTGCAAAGGCTGCAGCTGTTGGTGTAGGTTGGTGTAGTCTCCTGATTTTCTGGAAATACTTACATTTTGTACTCATATGCCCAGGATTCAAGGCCACTAGAACGACCGCTGCTAATTTGCCTTTTGGAAGCAGTTAGAAGCCCTATAGACTCGACTTGATGTTGGACAACTCGAAAGAGAAAATCGATAGTTCTTGACTATCTACACCTAGATTTACTATTGCTGCAAGATAAATTACGACCAAGCATACAAAAGTTGCGTAGTACTTATAGGTATTATAACGCCCTTCTTGCTAAAATCTCTTTTCCTAGAATGAATGTTTCTTTTTTCCCAGTCGGGTTAGAATTCAAGCACTTCATAACTTCTAAGGATTCCAAAACACTGCGAGGTTTTGTAACAATTGCTCGCTATGTCTAACCCATGATAAGAGTGCTACTGAACAGCGCTGAAAAGGCTGTTTTGTTGACAATAAAATAAAGAAGCACCAGTGTGGCACATCAGGCATTGAATACTCGAAACCTTAACGAGGAACTTCATAAAAGATCTGCAAAATGGACCAATGATGACGTTTTGCGACGACAGCGCAACTTTACTGTGTCTTTAGCAGGAATGAAAACGTTCTCGATAACTGCAGCAACATTCAATTTGACACAGTTGAAGACCTTGTCATATCTCTTCTCATCATATCCGTTCTATAATGACTTAATCCCATCCGCACCTTTCGATTGGATGCAGCCGATGATATATTTTCGAAAAGGCGGTGGCAGTGGTATAAATTTGATCACCACTCCGGTACTATGAATTGAGTCGAATGCATGGCGCAACCCTCAAAGCTTGGTGAAAACCGAGCCCCTTGTCCTTTATCCTCCGATGCAATAAAATTCTAGCAGCAGTAATGAAAGGGATGAATACTTGTTACAAAATTAGTATATAGAATGTATCAAGACAAAGTTTTGCACTATTTTAGCACCAACCTAATATCTGTCGTCGATGTATTGGTAACTTATATCAAACGATCCTAAAATGGAAGTTGGATTGTTACAACTAATCTATAAGTGATGCCGTTTCCGTGAAAATGGAATGTATCATCTTTGATGGGGCACTCTGTCTATCAAATGACAGTATCATCTATTGCTTAGGAAAGCATTCTGAATGTGGAAATTCTCTCGACCGTATTCTTGTGATTGGAGTGAACCCAGAAAGCGGGAAGAAAGAGTTCGTCATTTAAATCTAAATGAGGTCAAATACAGAGTTGCTTCCGTTCCAAGTGCTCTTCCGCCTTCATTGGCCACGGCTTTGCAAATCATTGGATCAATATTGCTTCCATAATCCCTGAAACACAAGTTATATTTTCAAAAATGTACAAAATTGTTTAATTTTATATGACCTGTATTCACATAATGTACGGATCAAGCTTCTTTCTTGAAAATCATTTTCTTGCATACTTCACCCACAAAAACGTTCAAAATTGTACAAGAACTCAGTTGATGCTTCAAGACATTTTCCGCATTGAGGAAAAAACTGGTACCAATCTACCTACGCTAAAAGCATCATGGGATTAACTGGCCTTGACCGCAAGACCTGCGTCTGTTGCACAGCATTTTTAACCACTACACTTCCCTCTTTCTTCGCGAAAATATTACAGAATTTCGTAAATAATCGATCTATCTCGAGGATTTATAAAATATGCGGCATATGTAACATTTCGATTGCGCCATTTATTTTTGAGAACTTTTCTGCTGCTCCTTGCTGTTTCTTCATTATCAAAATCAGGTGCTCGCTGCCTTAACGTGTCTCTCAATATCTTTCTAACTTACTGGCTATCCCTGCAGAAATATATTTCCTCCATAATCACAAGTCCAGTTCATACTTATAAGCATGCAATAGTCCTGTGCACTAGGTAGCCACTGCCGGCATCACTAAAATCTTCATATGCCCTTGTCGTGCCCCAAACCACCTTAGTGGATTCGACAGACCAGGTGGCTTGTGAAGCATTCAACGGCAGATAAAACATTCTTATAGTTATTTCGCTCTATTGTTTTATCCTCCATCTTTTCTGGAAGTAGTTTTTATACCAATGAGTTTTTAGAGTCCAAAAAAATTTCGGAAGTCATAGATTAACAAATATTTATCAGCATGAAATTAGTCGTCACTTATAAAAATAATGTTTCTCTACATTGAGCTCTGTAAAAATTTAAATGAAAAGTTAGAAAAACTTCAGTGCTTAAATCACCATAAATTTTCATATGTTTAAGATGTTATCCGAGTTTTCCAGCGCTAGACTGTGAACTTTAACGGTGAGGGATGCTTTCCAGGAGCTGGGGTGATAATATGCCAGTAGCAAATAGACCCTCACTTCTAAATTTAACCTGAAATACAAATATTTATCGATCGCCATATTTATTCTATGTATCGTAATCAAAAAGTTCTACATACATACATGGTAAGTAAACTGCTACCACACTTTTGGCAGAGTGACAGTGACATGGTGTATCGGTAGGTCGACGCAAATGACACTCATTCACCTCTGCGATGCTAAATAGAGATAAATGAAAACTGCATAACTAAGGAATTAATCATCGCCGAACGATTTATTTTTTCTTCCACTTGGAGTTTAGGCGCAGGTAAGCTTCGAAGTTCTAGATATAATCATGATTACTTAATTTGCATACGGTCTTCTTATGTTTCTGGAAAGTCCGCAGGTTTTCACTGATTCTCTCAAACAGAGATCCATTTCCTAGTTGCATTACAATTATTTATCTTAACTTACCGCTGACAGCACCGTCGGAATTAAAGAATGTCTGAGAGAAAGGCAAACCAAAAGTCTCGGTTGGGGTGACGAATAGCGCGTGAGACCATGGAAACAGTAATTGCGGGTTCGAAGCTCACGTGTAATTCTGAGTTTTACTCATGTCTCAGCACCATGATGGTTATATTTTACATGCCACCCTGATATGAAAAAACAAATGGCAGTGAATGAAAGTTAAAGATTAGTTATCTGTTTGTCTATTCGTTTATATTTGACCCATAGACACACACTATGCGGAACCCGTTTCTTTGATTCGATTCGTCGGTTCAACCGTTACTAGCGGATTTTCTCTTCCTCATGAATGCCACTAAATGCTAACCTAGATGACTGGTTCTCGAATTTTCAGCAGCTTTACCACAGCGTTTCCATCACTTCATCGCAGACAATTTGAATTGGTAGGAGCTTTTACCAGATAAGTCTCACATCCATTTGCCCACTACGTGAAGACGGAAGGTTTGCTTGGCGTAGCGCAAGAACGAACCACTGACTGTGTGCACATTAGTGAACAGAACCCTTAACCAATGTTCTTCGCTCACATCACAATACAATAAGCCATTCAAAACGGTTGCTGTGTAAAGTTTACTCGCTAGGATTCAATTAAGTCTTCATCTCCACTTTCGCTGTTTTCATCATTTTTATGGTTTACGTTGTTCTTGGACGATTTTTGATGCACATTTATCGAAGACCCTTCCAACATTCTTCTTTAAAATAACTGAAACATCCTGTTTGAATAATCGCAACAATCTCGTCATCGAGATCAGATCGACCTACTTATTTTAAATCGGATCGTCTGCAGCCGTCGATTCTCATTCTGCTTCTATAGTTTGCTCACTCGTTTAAACGTTTTTGAAATACAAAACTTGAAATAGGAAAACAACGTACTACTAATATTAACGACTCTTGACAATATCTAATTGCGAGCCGAAAAATGTGTTCACAATTTTCGGATTAGCGTTCGAAATGGGGTTTGTTTGGGCCCAAAAACATCTGGATGTCACAGATTGAACCGGGTGCAAACGAACAGTTTTTCACCTCAAATTATCCGTGCTAAAATTATCCATTTTCGTACGGATCATATATTTTAATGCCGAATAGGAACTTGCTTCATTTAGTAGCTAAGACAATGGCTGCCGCTTCCAGACTTCAATAGGTTTCGTCTTTCGAATAAAAGTCAACAAATCGATGGATATGTGGTAGCAAAAAGTACTATATATCCATCGATTACATCTAGAGAAAATGGCACTGACGACTTTACTCCTTTGAGCTTAACTTTACTTTAAAATTTTACTTTACAAGATTTATTGGGAGATTATAGTGCGTATCGACTCATATTGGCGCTAGTGCCTTAGAAATTTGAAGAATTCTGAACATAAGCATATTTATGGCAATATTTATTCTCATTAGTAAAAAAATTCCCAACGGCACAGCACGAAAAATGCCTGAAACATTCGAATTTTTGGAACGCTTTTCTTGTACTTTCACAGGTCTTTCTTTATCACATAGTCTGACTTACTGAGCTACCTGATAGGTTTCTTTCCATTCATGCTGATCTCATCATATTTCGCATTCATTTCGCCTCCACTCGATCGACGTACTTGGTTGTGGTCTGCTTTGAACATGGTGACATCTGCAAGAATCGTTTCGAGATGCATAAACTGTTTCAATACTAAATAGTTTCCGTGCCCTGTAGCTTTCTTAAGAGGCGTGCAGCTTGTGATTTGGAGTGCCCTTCAGTACAAAAATGGCCGCCGATTTAACGCCGTTGCCTGGACTAAGCCTTCTCCATTCTTACGAACAAGGAAATTGGTGCCAGATTTTTCTAAAAACATAAAAACACTGAGTTGATCCGTTATAGTCTCTGAAAATCATTGCATTGTTCAGAAAATGCATTCAAGAACCTTTTAATGATCCCTGATGGAGGTGGTTGCATCGAGATCGCCTCAGCTATTGACCAGTACTGAATGCCTTATTCTTTATACTTCACACTTCGCTTATCTATGTGTAGTGTGTCTACCTCAATCTCACAGAACAAGTGACTTTTTAGGAAACCAAATGAGTAGAGGAGCTTGACGTTCTATGGTCCAGCAATATTTCGAAAAACTTGTTTTCAAAGCAGTTTATGAACTTTGCATTAAGTTTCCGACAGTATTAAGGTGGTAATCTTTGTCCCAGGTGTTGAACAAAATGGTGCAGATCTTTTGGTTTTTCAGTTCTTACGTCGGTCTTTCAATATGCTCGTTCCGGTAGATGCTGCTTCCCTTCTCTTGCAACGTTGCTCTCTCATGTTGTTTATTTTCGTTTCTTTTTGCTTCTTTTTCCCATTCATAGAAAGATAAAAACAAGAATGCATTTTTGTTACCAAAAAGCCATCCAATTCCACTTGTTCTCAAAAAGAAGACGACTGAGTTGGAAAATGAAGGCATGAAAGGAATTTTCGATCAGTGTGTTTATTTCTTTCACGTCAGTCATTCAACTTCATTGTCCACTTACAGCAAAGAAGTTAACGCCTTGAACGAGACTCTCTTCGCTGACGAACTCCTTTTTATAGAGTTAATACAGGCTCCATGGAAGAGATGCATTTTGGTATTACAGTTTCGACACCCGACAGTTGGATAGCAAATACTGCATGGATTGTCCACAAGCGCTAATAGAGAGATATCTGCATCGACGCAGTCGAATGTTTTTTTTTGTCAGTAAGAGTTAAAAACAGCAAGATCGTTATTCCTGACAGGATGGGTAAAGAAAGATGAGCGTTGGTTTTCTCCATATATAAGTTTGGAATCGTTCATGAAGCTTATAGAATTTTAGGGAACGGAATATTGCTCTCTTCTGTTAGTTCTATCCAAAAGGCACCATTTAGAGTAGTTCATTTTAAGCTGCCTTCGACAGCTTTTTTGCCTACGCCGTTCTCGGTCATTTTTTGTTCACACAACTTTCGTGTTGCTGGATTTACTCAGTTTAACTTTGTGACCTCACCTGGGCAATTCTGGTTAATGAAGTTAAGCCATGCGAACTTCCTAATCAAAGAAAGTGCCCATATCATGCATAGTTCTGAAGGCTCTGAAAGTTCTGTTTAGATTTTTGTTTTTACTTTTACTTCAAACCTTCCAAAACTGAATTGGCTTTAGTGGACTTTCTTATTAAGGCGCTGGAGTTCTCGCTAAAATGTTCACTGAACCTATATTTGCAGATCAGGCTATCCCATTTAATAAGATGAGCCTCATTAGCTTCATTAACTGTACGTGTTGACGATTACCAGTTGATAATAGTAGTCACTTTTCAAAGCTGTAGCAGGAAGTGAGGATAGCCAAGGAAGGATCCATGAACGACAAATCCGACATTGCCAACATTTGGCGGAAAGGACTTTTTTCGTTCTATAATAAAGGTGCCGTTGTTTATTCTGCATACGTCAGAGCTTTGCTATTAGTACGGCAATAATATGAAGGATCATACGATTTGCAGAATACAGGGAAACGTTAAGATCGGCGTGCCAGAAGAAAGTAAAAATCCACAGCCTGTCGTAGACTTATTGTTTGATCCGGTTTTAATGACGTCCTAGACAACTCGAGATTTGGTCGCCTGTCGTCGATTGTCTCACTTCCCGACGTGGTAAACGGGAGCGCACGTTGCGTAACGCAATGGCTATGTTGGAATCTGGAAGTAACCTCTCAAGGACGCTCAAAGATGATCACCATTGTCATTTGGCACAGCTGGTCAGATTGGATGGGTGTTTATTACTTTGCGACTGAGTTTCTACGAAGATGGCATCATTTACAGCTATTGGCTTGCTAGCACCTCTTTCAGTAGAAAATATTCAATTTTTTCTTGACTTGGATAATTTCCGAAACGTGGAATGAGCGAGTAGCCGTGGATTGCAAAGTTACAACACTAATGAGCAGTTCCCAGCCCTAAGGAGACTATCTACTAGCCCCTAACAGGAGACACGTTAAATGTTAACTTGAAAGCGTAGTGTTTTTTCTAAAGATCTCTTTATTTCAAACAGAACTATTTATATAAAAATGCGTGTAGCTCAGTGGTTAGAAACGCCCTGAAATACATCATTGATCTAGCGCCCAGGCTCATCATGCCCTCCATCCGCCGGGTGGTACCAGAATTGTGTCGAAGGATAGCAGCACCGGTTCGATAGATCGGTAGACCACCAAGAGTTATTGTAGAGACCAGATGTGCATTAAATCACCTCCAAACGGTGCTTAATGAAATCGAATGCATGGAGCATCGTTAAGGGCATCGATCAATGTCGAGAGCTTCATACTTTTTCTATTATTTATATGTTTGTAAGCTTTTCTTTATTTAGCTCAGTAGCTTTTGAGCCAGCCTATATCTTTCATGCTTATGAAGACATATTGTTATCCACCCAGCCTTAATGAATTATCAGGTTACCTTCGTTTTTCCCTCATGCTTGTCTATGGTGTTTTATTGCTTTACTTTTCCTTTCTACTTTGCAGTTATGATGTTTTAATATAACCGATTGCTGTTATATGATAGCCGTCTTCAATAAATTTCTTGGGAGCTCTAGAACTTTATCATTTTTCGTTCCTTATTTTTCTTATCAATCTAAGCTTCTGATCTATACTAATTATGATGATTGCTACTGTGAGGAAGTAGAACTTCTTCACATTTGCTGCTCACAAGCACGTCTACCCACTTCGTCCGTGATTCCTTAGAGAACGACCACATTGTAATGAAATCCACTCTAAGATTCTTCTTATCCACCTATTTCTAACTCTTCTTATCATTACTCAAGCTATCTAACAATCTCCGCTTCGTTATTTTTTATTCGCTTGAATTGTAGAGACAAACAAATTTTAAAGGCCTGAAAGGCTCAATGTGTGGTGTGCATCGGTAATATCGGAATACGCCAATCGCATAAGATAGTTGTTGCTAATCGCCACCATCTCTTCATACCGTATTTCAGCTGCTATTGATCGGCTTCACACCTTACTTCAGTAGCCATTGATTGGTTTGTTATGAAACTTCGGCAACGTGTCATAAATTTTTTACTAACAGTTGCCGTTACGGCTTTAGTTTTACTCGTTGTGGTACGAGTTCGACACATCGTACAAAAAGGTCGTCATGGTTTCTGGAGATATCGCAATGAATCTATCGGTGTGAGTGAGTTCCTAAATAAGTAGTGTTCTTTTACTCTTCACAATTGTCCATTAGGTATGAACGAATCGGCAAAATCATCTGCTTTTGAAATCAAATGAATTTTCGTTTATCGATGATTTCAATTTTTTAAATCATCAGGTGGATTTATACGATCTTGAGCCGATTTCGTTCAGTGAACTCCAGTACGTTCCACCCTACGAAGTTTGTTACCTTTACTGTTTGTTTCACTTTTTTTTTGAAAGTAGTTCATCGGGCCAAAACTCTATTTACTTATATAATGTCTCTTAGGAAATTAAATGGCAACGTTTCTTTTAGGAAGAACCTTTTATTGTCTGTTCCCATTATTGCCCAAAGTTAAGAAAGCACACAAGTATTCACGAATATGATATACAACCACAACGATCTGAGATATTCGCAAGATTTGGACCCAGGTCAGATCGAACCACGATTTCCCTTCGGGGGGGCTCGCTCATTACACTCTGCGTCACGAAGATTTTCGCTCTTCGTTTCTCTCAGCTAGCTTTCTACCTAACGCTATCATCAGCGATCACCCATTGACGGGATTGATCTAGGGAGTACATATCGACGTTGAACCTTGTTAATCTGAGGCTGCAGTAGAAATTCCAATGTCAAACCTTTATTTGCTGCCAATTCAACAATGCTCTTCTGCTAATAAACAAGAATCTTTTCATCTTGGAACTTTTCGTTTATAAGGAAACTGCCTAAAATTTGCATCTGCTTGTCTGAAAATAAAATTGTTTCAGACCGAAAAAAAACTAGCCATAGTGGAAGTTATCGAGCCTGATACTCTGCCACATTTCTATCAACATGCAATGAGTGCGTATCAGTTTTTGTATAAATCCTCTTTCAAAGATGTGTACATTGAATAGATTCTGATTGAATGTTTTCAGTGTCTGTGTCTTGTTATGCTCGTATTCAAGGCTATGAGTTTCGGATTGTATTTTCATCTAATTATTCCAAAGAATGCCCACATAAAGATGTAAGCTTTTTAAAGGGTAAAACGCAAATATAGTGACTTATCAATTTGTGTTTAAATTGTTAGGCCTACACGAGGTTGTTACACAACATTTGTTAGGCTAGCGATTGCACGTCTTCGCCTTCCACAGAACCGATGATCCGAGTCGATTGTCCACAGTCGCTCTTCTTCTCGATATAGCGTTTTCATCTTCGTATCGAGTCGGATCTTTGGCAGTGGACTATCTCTTGGATTAGGCATACTCATCCGGCGATAATCTTTTAAACGGGTCGATGACCGTTGATAATAGTGGTTGATCGGTGATAACAACTTGTTTTTTTTTCGGACAATGCACTGCGCAGTCGGATGAGTGTGCCTCATTCAAGTGATGCTCCACTGAGAAAGACCCGATTCGATGCGAAGATGAAGAACAACGATAAGACGAACAACTATCGACCATTGACCAGGATCATCGGCTCTGATGAAGGCGAAAATGTCGAAACGTTAGCCGATTAGAAGTTGTGTAAGCACTTCGTGTATGTAAGCTCAACAATTTAAACACATATTGGTTAGTCATACTAAGGCTAAAGCAAAGTATGTTTTGAGATGTAATGACTTATTTTACTGAATTCAGATTTATCTTCGTCGCCACTGTGTAGTTGCCCACGTTCTGCCGCAATACGACACCGTCTTGTATATAGACGCTGACATGGGCGTGGTAAATCCGAGAAGGTACTAGAGATATGCATTAGATAGTTTCGCCCTACTTTTTTCTGGACGTATTCTTTTTCTTCATCCTTTTTTATAAAGAGGTTCACAATCGTCACATTCTAGTGGCTTGGTGTCACTTTTATTTAATGCCTTCAAATACCCTGCAGAGAATACTGTAGGCAGTATGGCGTTCTTCTTGATAATGACGATGATGATGATGATGTTCTGAAAATTATCACCGCAAATCACAAAGCGAATGAATGAAGGAAAGCATCAAAGTCATGACTAATACTTTTACTTGCAAACAACCTTAGAAGGTCAAGCGTTCGGTGCTCGCATTTGTTATACACAAATGACTTTGGATTTCTGTGTGAATTTAGGTGGTACTTGGAGACTTTCTCTCCTTCATGAATGCATTGGAATCCGCGTCGATTTGGCGGAACTGGTATCTACGAAAGTTAAACGATTAAGCTAATTACAACATTTTCTAGAATTGCTAACCTAGCACCAGGTTGCTATAGAAGCTTTATTCGGCTAACGCTTCGACGACTTTGTTTGGTCGTTGTCACGATGAGGATGTTCGTCGTCACATCGAAGTCGAACCCAGTGAAGAGACACCGCACGAATAGGGAACTTCTGCTGGGGATGCACTCTTTATGTAGGACGGATGTTGGCCGATTCTCGCCAACCAACATGATCTATATTTTGACGAGCAATAGGTCCTGTAGAACCAGAACTTCACTTATTGGCATACAACGTGGCAATGTCTTAAAAACTGACCAAGGTACTAGAGATATGCATTAGATAGTTTCGATCTGGGGAGCCCAAATTGGCAACGAACCCAGCAATCCCGCTGACAGGTGATTGCTGATGGCAGTGATCGATAGGACTAGCTGAGAGACAGGCGAAACGAAAGAATCACATGGTGTGATGGTGAACGCGTTAGCCCCTGAAAGGGTAATAGCGCGTTCGTTCCCCACCGCAGACACCAGCGGTTCAGAGTTTTACAAATATGTCCACATCATTCAAGTAACGAACATAATTTTTATGCTTTAGATCGATTTAAGGGAATATCTCCTACGAGCTTTTCGCGCAGATTCATGCAGCGTCTATTGTAATAGGCCTTACGGAATTTTAAAAACCTGGTGCAAAATTTTCACCCCATTTCTATGTTCTACTTTAATATTGGAAGAAAATACTCAATTTCTCTGTTCTCACAATTGTTCCTTTCAGTCTAGAGCGATTAAAACATGTCTATTTATTTGATACAGGAGACTAGAAGAGTTCATTGACGACGACACTGAGATTGCTTTCTTTGATCGATTCTACAACTGGGAAGTGGCCGCTGGATCGTATATCGTGAAAAATACAGAATGGACAATTGAATTCCTAAAAAGTTTGTTTTAAGTTTAAATCTTCATCCTGTTTTTCTTCACTGTTTTGCTTCATTCTATTTAGCCTTTGCTGACTATGAATACAGACTTCCGAGAGAATATCATGGAACGGACAACGGCGCATTACATGTCAGTCAATTGTTGAAGATCTTATTTCATGATAAGATGATCAGACTGGTGATACTGTGCTTTACCACCTTTACTTTATCTGTTTCGCTTTTATCGAAAGTTGTTTAAAGCATCTAACCAGTAAACTGCATAATCCTAAAGATTTCTTCACTACTCAATTGGCAAAGATTCTAGTAATGAAACGTCAAACAGAACGTTATACCTTATAAAACAAGTAAACGTAGCAAATTGCTGTGAAAAATTTAGGCACATCTTGCTGAGGTTCTGTTCGAAAAAGAACGAAAAACGGAGTTGGCATTCTGTCTACGTATTTACTACAATTTGAATAGCTATGAGGACTTATTCACTTTTGAAGCGTGTGTCCGTCAAATGCTCGGGCTGCATACGAAAATCGGCAAAATACAAATTTACAAGAAAGTGAGTTTATCATATTACATGGTTGTGATGAAGATGCTTCGCCTTCTTCGAATAACTTCAGCGCCAAATATGCATTAGGTGTGTATTAGCCACCCGATTGCGACCTCGATGACGTTGAGCGAAGAACTTTCATTTTGCCCACATAGATCCTGATTTCCGATACGTGCGTTAAGGCAATGGTAATGGCACAGTACAAAGGACGTTTATGGAGTCGGGTGTTCCTTATTCTCTTGATTACATCCTCGGTTTAACTTTTATTTCCTGCCTATTCTTTTTTCATAGCAGGGAACACAATTAAAAAGATGCCGAGATGTGAGCAAAACTCGAAACCCCATGTGTGCTTCGAACCCTCACCTACCCTTACTGATAGGTCACCAGCTATCCACTACAGCAACGAAGACCCTTTCTTTGCCTTTTTCTCAGCCGTGTTTTTTACTCTGTCGGTGCTATCATCAATTACACTTTCACGGGAATGATCTCGAAAACGTAGGCATTAAGCCCAGTTAAGCTGAAGCTGCAGTCCAATTCACAATGTTTAACTTTAGGGCTTAATCACTTTTAGCTCCCAGTAAGATTAATCACAAGTTGGTACTCTACCTAAGGCTCCGAGATTTGCTCATATCCCCATATCGCCGTTTTTGTCTTACAACGTCGTTGTTCCATAAAGCTCTATAAGCCGTTTGCTTCCTCCAGCTCTGCTCTGGAGCTAAATCATTCACCATGACTTTATGAGCTAGCATACGTAGCTAAGAATTTCGGACATTTCCACTTTTTTTTATTTTTAGTTCAGCGTGAATAGTAGAACAGAAACCTATCAACTTTTTATAGACATATTCTTCTTGATACCACGTCGAAGACCGATCGTTTTAAATGTGCTGAACAAATTGGCCAGCACTCGTTCTGCCTGGATAATGCTTAATATTATAAAAACAATATCATCAAATCAGTAATAATTTTGGTAAAACGTTCTCAAGGATGACTGAAAATGATTTTGGAGTGGTCGTACCTCCTTATCGAACTACCCTCTTTGCATATTAGTATCTTTGTGAAAGTTGATACTTTGGTGGTAACGTTGCTAATTACCTCGTTCAAAGTCGTTACGCACTGAGTTTAGACATCTTGGCTCTGTGTAGCTTCTATAACCTCTCTTCTTCCCACTAATTGGGAAGACTTTTTTTTAGGCCGACGAAACTAAGACAGAGTGGTATCTTATAGCCTCGCGATACATAAACGAGCTTTGCTTTGTTGTATATGTTGTCCGTCGTACTGAGTCCTTTACAAAACCCTGCTTGCTTAGACGGCCGTCGTCTAATGTTTTGTCAGTACTATTTAAACTGACTCAAGAGTTCATGGACAATAGACAGCAATTCGATTGGTCGCCAGTTGCCGATTTGATTGAGGGCACCTTTTTTGAGCAATACCACGGTCTTTCTCGTTTTCTACTGAATAGAAACCTTTCACTCTAATAAGTAATGTATGAAGAGCCTGAGTGTCGCTGAGGACTGGCGAAAGGCTGTTGAGGTGTTCGGATCTCATCTTGTTCGGACCACATGCTCTACGGCTGCTTTCTAACTAGATAGCATGTAAAGATTTGAAAGCGAGAACCGGTGGGACCATCTACTCCTTTCTTTCATATGGCGTCGCGAAAACGTTGCTGTTGAGAAGATGAGAGTACAGGCTATGAATGGTTTTCTTCACCGAAATTCTGAAGACAAGGAATGCTCTGTCTAGGCGCAGGTTGGTCGTTATTTTAGTTTTGCATCCTTAGCTTATATGAGAGCAATTCTGTGAAATATTTCGACTATACGTGTCCACTCCTTCTCTCCTTGTAATTAGAAAGCTGTACCAATTAGTCGAGCAACTATAAATAAATTCTATTCTTCCCCACTATTTGTCATATTCTTCCAGTGGGTTCTCTTCGTTATAAGAACACAAATAATACCAGACTTTTTAATGATAACATGGTTTTCGTAAAAAATTAGCTACGGTGAGAGCTCATGGCATATTACTCATAGGTGAGCTCCACTGAGAAATCTCGAGCTCCTTTTCGACCTGTGTGGTTTCACAATGAAAGCAAACCTTGACTAGTAACAAGATGGGATACCAACTACGTAAGAGTAATGTACTTTTGCACTTGGATGATCCAGAGTTCAGTGTATAGCCAGTATCTAACTTTAGGGAACAGCGATTCGCTTAATCTCTAGAAATTTCGCATTAGAAGGTCCTTGATTCCTCCCGATCTGTACTCTATATCCTTCTCGTATATCCATCGTCAACTTCTTATAAAACGAGTACTTCCTCTATGTTCTTGGATTTCCGAAACAAGATATTTTGCAAATGTCTGAGCTGCCTAGGCTGGTTTAGTTTTGCTTGCTTCTATTATATTTGAAGTGTTTTTAAACGGGTCTGTGGGTTGCTTAAACTCACTCGCAGCAGAGTTACTGAAAGAATGTTAAGTTGAGCAGCTTGAACAGAACCTTGAGCCATTCTCAGTCATCTGCCTTCATCCACGTTCAAGTCGTGCCCGATATTCATTGTTCAAGCTTACAGGGGATATGATTTCTATAATTAAAACAACAACAGTCCATGAATCTTAATCATTCCTTCGTTTGCTCACACAACCACCCTTTTCCTGAATTCATTAAGCTTTTTCGAAGTGGTCGTAAAATCTGCTACGATCTCGTAGAAAATCATGCGGTTATTGAGAACAAAACGATTTTCTTGTTGTACAGGATAACCAGGAGCTCTTTTCTTTAGCGCTTTGAAATTTGTTGTCTCTGAAGACTGTTTATATAGTTCACACCGCTCCGGTCCATAAATGTCAACGTAATATTGCTCTGTGAAGCTACCAAGGTAATTGTTCCCCGCGCAACTCGAAAGTGTTGTTTGCTGGCGTAGTATAAGTCTCTAGGACAGATGAGGACCGAAGACATTGTCTCGCCACTATTTTCGATGTCATAAAGAGAGTAGCGCAATAGGATTTAAGCATTCTCTGAACAGGGTCGATAATGTGCAGCTCTACTCACGATTGGTGGTCTTTAGTTCTCTGTGTTCCTCCGTTAGCATTTCCTTCTTTATCTTCATGCCATGCCAAGCTGTGTGAGGTGTATTTTAGTTATATCAAGCTTCCAATTTCTGTCTCTCTCAACTTCGTAGTGGTGAAAATGTAATCTGCCTTTCTTGGTTTAAGATAGCCATAGTCATTTTATTTGTACTTTAACAAGCGGTTTAATCCAAGTCATCTTAAAAATATCATTTGGTTAAGGACGTCGTTAAAGATATTTTCGTTATTAACGACCTGTTTCATCCACTTTCTAAGTGATGGAAAACTTATTTTCAAGATTTTACTTGGAGCAACTTCTTCTAAGAATGAGAGAACAATCTCGGATTCAGCACAGAAGTGTGGCACCATGACATCACCAAGTAGGCACCACCATATATACTGCTAGCCATGCGGTCGAAGATCACGTGGCTTATTTCACTAAAGAAGTGTCATGCTTAGTGGGAATTTTTTTACCTATTGCCCATCGGTTAACTTAGCCGGAAACGAATAATGAATCATGCTTTGGTAAAGAGACAGCTCATAGACGAATGGATCAAATGTGTTTCATTTTTCAGCGATGCGTTATTCGAAATTGCACAACAAAGTAAGTTGATAACGGAGATTTATTTCCACTTATGTGACTCGTCTTCATATATTATGAGTATAGCAGAATTTCTTTCATTCGCTTCGCTGTCCCGCACTTGTCATCCACGTATGCTTTCGAAACTGTGTGCGGATTCGGGTTTCTGGAGAGCACTTTTCCTTCTTCATGAATGTCGCTTACCGCGATACAGGCAGTCGTTTTTTGGATCGGAAGGAGTTCAAGTGAGAGAGATTCAGCACCAGTTTTCCGACTCCGAAAAGCGTAGAAAGTTGTCCGGCGTGTAACGGAGTCGAACCTGCAGCAACGCGGGTATTAGTGCATTAAACATCTAGCCATATTTCCAGTCCACTTAACAGTGTTATGGGTTAAAAAAAGAGTGTTTTGAGTAGAAAGCCTGAGCATTGTGTTATATTTCAATATTTTACAATAAACTGAACATTTGTGAACACATACAAAGAAACAACTCATAAAAAAGAAGGCTTAGGGAACTGCATGGGTAAGAGACAACTGGATGACTAACAGCAAATGGTCACCAGACAGAGATTTCATGATACACAACTGGAAGATTACTCAATTACGAAAGTATTGGAACAGCGATTTGCCTTTAATGTAAGTGTTTTTAAATCCATTATTTTCAAGGATGCTAACTTGTGCTTCGTGGTTTTTGAAAAAGTGGTGCCCTCGTACGGTGGTTTTTTCCAGACAAAAATTTATGAGACAAAACCAAAGCACAGCGCTAGTGTTCTCTTACCATTGTCAAACGGTATGGATAAAGCTTTTTAAGTAGAAGAGAAATTCGGAAGACGTACTTCGTTCTTCACGTTTATTTCCGATTGATGCGCTCAAAATGATAATTTAACACGGACGGAGTCGTAATTTGTTGTCGAAGGAAATAATTCTTAACCACTTTCATTACTAGCATAGATTTTGCACTGTGCTCAGAAGTAGCCTAAAAGCGGACGAATGAGTCCTGAACTCATCCCTAAAACGCCTGAAAACCCGTTAGGTTTTTTAGTCGACAGCGCAAAAGCCGCTAGTAGTATTCGTGCTAATTAGGAATTTTATTAATAGTTCGACTTTCGTTATAATTAATATTAATAGTTCGAAAAACATAACTTTTTAAAAACATACTGAAGGCCAGTTTACCACTGCTTTTTATGTCTCCTTTGTTCCATTCACTGTTTTTCACTGATCTTTAAGGTTGCATGGCCCATCAAAAGGCGAATGGTTTAATCCATTAAAAGGGCAACTGCACCTTGATCTCTGTTATCCTGGGTGAGACTATTCTGTTTAGAGTATAAAATGAAGTACTAACAACAACTTAGTATACGTATTATTGACTCTTTAGGAACCTAACATGGAATTATGATGTAAATCTTATTGAAAGTCGAGATAAGATCGATGCAAAACTCCAAGCATTATACGATGTAATCGATAGGGATCGACTGAAAAGTTTATCACGGGTGGTGGATTTTTTATAACATGCTATGAAAGTGCTCCATCACTGTCCATCATCTAATCTTCCAACACTTTCCAATCGAAGTATCAAAGGTCAGAATATTCAAGGCGATTGTGTCCTTATATGTTTGATGTTGCGGTAATGGAATATTAAGATGCTCAAACACTGACAAAACATTCGAAATCATTACTAGGTTTTGTGATAACCTCCTCTTTCACAATATGAGCAGCAGTTGTCTTAAGGAGATGAGAAATCAAGCCAGTGATGTTAAGAATGTAATTGTTATCTATCAGACATATATATAAATTGTTTTACGTTGTATAACATTAAACTTTCTCCTGCTTCCTTTAATCTTAGTGATGTTTTAATGAAAAATCACGTGCATCACCTGTACTTCTGTAGGTAGAGATTCAGAAAATCTGCAAAATCAATTGCAAACACATTGTGTACATCACTTTTACCATCTTAATCTAAAAATGTTTGACGTGGAGAAAGTTCAGCGTGATCCTTCGTCATTAAGCGATCACATCTAAAGTAATAATAAATAAATATTATGTCTATGATACACCCTCTCCGCCACATGAATTACCGTCGTCTCATCATGGCGATGAGGTATTCTTTCGTGTGCGTTGAACAGTGGGGATTTCAACCTACTAACAGAAATTGCAAAACTGACGAACCTAACGCTTTCATTTCAAAAACCTAGCTAGGAATGAACCAACGCTAGGAATTCCAGTAGTCCTGGGAACAAACTTGTCCTATGTTGATAATCTGCATTTAATTTTTTGCAATCGACGACTGTTTTTACTGACGACTTCAAAGAGCTTCAAAAATGCTTCTGTCAAAACTGCTGTTAAGGAACAAGTTGCTCAGCAGTTAATGAGTCACTTAGTCACTTTCGTGGAGCAGGCGCTGTCAATTTCGGATATCGAGGCACACATGAATTTGTAATTATGTGCTAATTATTGAGAACAGCTAACGCTCCGGCCAATTTTGCCTTTCTCAGAGAGATTTTCTATGAGCCTTCCACTTAGTAATCCATCTAGAGAGCATTCGTGTGAACCTCACGTGGACACCTATCCGTAGCTTAAAATACTAGTTTTTACGAATATTTTGGTCTGCTACGAATATACTTTTGCACATTTAACCTTAATGAGTCAAAATAGAGTCACTATTACATTCTGCCATGACATGGAACGCAATTCGGATTTTTCCTACAAAGCTCTAGTTGCGAAGAAAAATATCTAAAGACTATAGATCCAGGAATAGTGGAACTCTAGCCGATCTCTATGGACAAAAAAGCCACAAACTGAATAGGGAAGAAATCCACATCAGCGGAGACCCTTACGCACGCTCATCTTACACGGAAGATAACCAAAAAGATTTTCGTAGTTGGATTTATTTGATTGCTGAGTATACTCAACTAGGTTTTCACGAATAATTTCATATAGTACACTTTATGAAATTTCGGCGAAGCACAACCCTTTAGCAAGACGGACCACACTTAAACGATATCCTTTATCGTAGATGTCGTTATGTTATATCGCCTGCTTCATGTGCTAACCGTTTGACAGCGTCGAAACAAATGCAATCTTGTCATCGACCATCGACAAACGAGTGGAATTGTTGTTGTTGTAAATGCAGCATAAAGAGGCAATTTTCTATTGATCCTTTGCAATCTCCACTAGTAGGGAAAGGTTGATACAATATCGCCATGTGTTTCCTACCACATTTCACTGGATAACGAAATCATTCGAATGGGACTAGAAAGTCGTGCCTATTAATGGCAAGTTCCTACCAATTCTTCGTTTTGCTGACAACGTCTATTCGAGAGTGCTAGCGAAGCCGAGGTGTTCAACAGGTTGAGAAAAAACTAACAATGCACATAAACAGCAAGAAGACCCAGTCGATGAAAACACGTGTCATGATGGTAAAGAGGTTGAGCTCAATGGTTGTTTTGTTACGGATTAAGTGTTTCTTGGCTATTAAATGTATCTGGAAAACAATATAGGAGAGGACTTGTAACGCAAGTGCTGAAGCGACAATACCCACGACGATTGGCCGTCCAACTAGCCAAGTACCCACTCAAGTTCATAATACAGTTGGCGATCCAGTAACAAAGAGACGCAAAGAATGCTTTAAATTCACTGTTGGACATCCCAATGCAGTAGTAGCAAAGGTTGTTAGAGCAGAGGTGAACCAACCTTGAAAGAGTTGATCAAACTGACTCACAACAAAAATGTAAAAAAAAACCATCTTTCGAGCATTGTCGTGCTCACCTTCGTGTTTCAGAACGAGAGAAAGACCGCATTGGGGCATAAGAATCGCCTAGTGTCGTCATATATCGACCACATCTTTACAGTAAGAAAACGCCTACTTGAACCCCGGTTTTTTTACGTCGAAGTAATCGATATGGCAACTTGCGGATTACACGATCACCCGACTAAAATTTTTATAAACATATTCCAGTTGTTTACCGAGCAACACGAGGTGGCACCATCAAACGGAATTTCTCTCTTTGCGGTTTGGCTCAACTACTTCAAAGAGACTTGCTTGCTCGAGGGAAACGTAGAACACCACTACGTTTAGCATGGTGTTCTTCACGAAAAAACCACTGGGTTCAGTTCGCCTAGCTCTTCTGCGGCACCACGTTTTCACTCTTGGGAGAGCTTCCATATGGAATTTCCGAAGCTCTTCTCAACAAGGAACCCTGCTACAGGACGCGGTGTACAACGCAGACCGTAAATCACGCGGTGGAGTGATGATCACAATGGATAACAAATACTCCAAATTGTGTAGAGACTTTATTTAAAAGTATAATTTTACCTACTCCGTGATTACATTCTTCATTATGACCGCAAATAGCCATAAGAGACATCATGGCAGGTACATCACATAGTGACGTCTTCTAGTCTAAGTTTTCATAATGAACATTCAAAAAAACTCCTAAATAAAAAAGATCAAAACCAAATTAATATTTAGTTGGTTATTACTAAATATACAGAAGTATTCGGCCGTTGATTTACACACTTTTATCGCTGGTTATTAAGTTATAATTAGACACACTCGGTTAATTATTGGCGAAGGACTAAGTGTGTTCGCTTTCTCAGGTTCCCATTATAGTTGCCGCAAGTTTTTTGAAACAAACCAAAACCGCCTCGCATGTGCCTTCCAATCATCTGACATTAAGATCATTGGGCAATTCGGCGCCCACTTCAAAGTCAAATCTGTGCTCATGTGCATGATGGAGTTTGGAGAGCTCTTCTTCCAATCCGCTTGCACATCAAAGCAGGAACGTACTCAATTCCGCCCAGACATTTACCACATAACGACATACTACGTAACTTCTAAGCTAACCAATTCGAAAACTTGGCCGAGAAAGGTGACAAAATGGAAACGTCCGAAATAAGTGATTGCATTGAAGCTGAAACCACTGAACTATATATCTCCAACGCATGTATACTATTCATAGAGCTTTAGCTAGAAAAAGTGAATAATGGTTTTTAAAGGCAAAAACAATTGTTGCTATTAGAAAGTTAGTCGCTAATATGTCAACGCTTAGAGTGCGACGTAGGAAGATATTCATACATGTGGATGGTGCAGCATGTAACACAGTGATTAGGGATGCCGCCCTAGGTTTAACAACGAGTCCGTTACCCTGAGGTCGTTACATTACTGGCAAACATGTGCGGAAGGGTAAAAAAACGCTGACGTGACACATTTGTGAGTTTCCACAAGACACTGTAAAAACCAAATATGCATTTATTCAACTCTGCTGTGTCAGGAATGGAGTCGAGTGCGTAGCACATCTACTAGGTATTTATTGATCGAGGCTGGCTGTTTCTTTTACATAAAGTTTTTGCTCTTTATATGAAGTGAAGACTAGCAAACGTGAATTGATATTGGATACGTTTTCTTCCAATGATTTTCTTCTGTGGCATTGATGTCTGTTGATGTAATTTTTGATTCCAATCTAAAGCACTTCCAATACAGAAGGTGCACCTCACTAAATACTGCTGCATGTGTGTATCGCCAGGGGGAAAGGACGACTGCACCGACATAGGCTGGCTTCAACTTGAACTCAAAGTTTTGTACGTTAAAAAATTAAGCATCGAACCCTAAATATTAGTGTAGATAAAATAATCTATAAATATTTCTGACAAAAATTTCACTCTCATTGGCTGCTAAGAATGAAACGCACCGACCATAAATCGATAATCGAAATATTAACAACCCATTACATTTAGTCTAAGAACGGAAACGGAGACTATTCCAATGACTTCCTATCACGTAACGTTTTCAAACTACATATGTTTTGTCCGTA